CTTTGAAGTATGCTCCTGTCTAGAACCAATGCTAATGTTTCTATCCCATAGCAGCTCCAGGGATGTTTCTGCGTGTCCTTTTCTGTGTGGCTGCAAGTTCAGCTTGTGCTCGCAGCACCCATTTGGGAGGAATGCAGCTTCGGTGGGCCCTGCGGCGCCGAGGCTGCCCAAACAGGCACTCTGTGTGAGCCCTGGCTGGCTGCTCACACACCCTGCCTGCCCTCGCATTGCCTCAAAACGTGGGCGAGCCTCCTTAGAGGTGGTCAGGAAATTGCTTCCCAGTCTGTGCGGTAGCGCTAGCCTTCGTGGAGGGAGCACAGGAAAATGTCAGCGCCGTTCTTGGGCATGGACTGGCTCTTTTAAGTGATGGGAAAGTGATTAGGAGGGATGGAGTGGTGGGTGCTGTGAAACAATGAAGTAGCCTATACATGTTTTAATACATCCAAATCATACAAGTTTATGAATAAAATTCATGCCTGTAAGAAGAGGTAAATAAAAYATATTTCCTGTCATTTTCAGTTCCAGCTTAATAGTCGTGTACTCAGTCAACAATATGTAAGTCTGATTTAGACCTTTTGCAAAGAAATAAATTCATCCTCTGTATGTAGTGTAATGCAGTAAGATATAAGAACGTCCTTTAAACCTTCCCCGGAAGGAATTCCATTATCTGTGGATCAAGGATSAGATCCAAAAAAAGCTTTTTGGTTCCTAACACTAAGGTGAAATGCTGTTTAARCATCCCAATCCGAAAGCAAACAATTCACCACCTTTTTACTTAACTGATCAAAACGGCTGACTGTTTCTCTGACCTCTCAGACAGCAGCACATGTGCAAGTTATTATCCACGAAAGGGAAGTTATTTCCTCCCAGCTGAGACATAATAACTGCTCCTTTTCTGCTGCAATGTAAAATAAACCCTGACGAGTTTTCAAGTGAACTTCATTAGTCTGCTTCGAAGAGACCAAGCCAGCCATCAGCTGGAGACTGAAGGCAGTAGCATTTTACAGAGAGCTAAACATCATCAGAAGTAGTTGTCTGTTTCAGAGCTTCCTAAAAACCTGTTTTGTGTGAGCCCTGAAATACTCCACATTTGACTGAGCTAAACTGAATTCAACTTGTCTTCTCATGTGGGAACTATGTGCACATCCACAGATTCACAGATTCACCGGATATTTAAGGTTGGAAGGGACCTCTACAGATCATCCAGTCCAACCTTCCTGCTCAAGCAGGGACACCTACAGCATGTGGCACAGGGTGGCATCCAGGCGGGTTTTGAAGACCTCCAGAGTAGGAGACTCCACAACCTCCCTGGGCAGCCTGTTCCACTGCTCTGTCACCCTAACAGTAAAGAAGTTCCTCCTCATCTAGAGACGGAACTTCTTGTGCTTCAGCTTGTGGCCATTACCCCTCGTCCTATCACTGGCCACCAGTGAAAACAGCCTGTCCCCTTCCTCCCTGCATTCTCCCTTCCTGAACTTATACATATTAATCATATCCCCTTCTCAGCCTTCTCTTCTCCAGAGAAAACAGGCCCAGCTCACTCAGCCTCTCTTCATACGAGAGATGTTCCATTCCCTTAATCATCCTGGTTGCCCTTCTCTGGACCCTCTCGAGAAGCTCCACGTCCCTCTTATACTGGGGAGCCCAGAACTGCACACAATATTCCAGGTGCGGCCTCACCAGAGCTGAGGAGAGGGGCAGAATCCCCTCCCTTGACCTGCTGGCAACACTCCTCCTGATGCAGGCCAGGATCCCATTGGCCTTCTTGGCCACGAGGGCACACTGCTCACTCATGGTTAACTTAGTGTCAACCAGGACTCNTCCAGAGAAAACAGGCCCAGCTCACTCAGCCTCTCTTCATACGAGAGATGTTCCATTCCCTTAATCATCCTGGTTGCCCTTCTCTGGACCCTCTCCAGAAGCTCCACGTCCCTCTTATACTGGGGAGCCCAGAACTGCACACAATATTCCAGGTGCGGCCTCACAAGAGCTGAGGAGAGGGGCAGGATCCCCTCCCTTGACCTGCTGGCAACACTCCTCCTGATGCAGGCCGGGATCCCATTGGCCTTCTTGGCCACGAGGGCACACTGCTCACTCATGGTTAACTTAGTGTCAACCAGGACTCCCAGGTCCCTCTCCGTGGAGGTGCTTTCCAACAGGTCAATCCCTAATCTGTACTGATGCCTGGGGTTATTCCTCCCCAGGTGCAGGACCCTGCACTTATCCTTATTGAACCTCATGAGGTTCCTCTCTGCCCAGCTCTCCAGCCTGTCCAGGTCCCTCTGGATGGCAGCACAGCCCTCCGGAGTGTCGGCCACTCCACSCAGCTTGGTGTTTAATCCCTAAAGTATTAACTGAAAATATGTTGAATTTGATATCCTATCTTGGATAGTGTAAAACCCACCAAAACACTGCAGAATGTCCTGTGAAAGAAAGACAKAGCAGTTTATGAAGGCCAGTCCAGTTAGGGTCAGTCATTGCTGGTASTAATGTGTGGGTGAAGGTTGTCATTCCTCCAGTGCTGTTTGTCCTGCCCGTGGGTCTGCGCTGCCTTTGCTAGCACTAGTTGTCAACACAGAGTAATTGCTGGTCAGGTCTGAGCTCAGAAGTGCACGAGCTGCATCTGCTCTGGAGCAARAAACACATTATGTTTCCCAGCCCCCTGAAACTTCTGTTCCTTGCTGCCTCCTGCAGTGTTTGCCATTCCCAATGTACGCAGGCTTTATGGGAGCATTGTGTCACCCCGCTACGTTCCCCACGGACCCGAGGAGTTGCTCCTGCCACTCATGGAGCCTCGCAGGGCCTGCACCCAGCAGCCTCACCTCACACTGGAAGAACACATGGAGGTCTTGAATACCAAGGCAGGTGTTAAACTCTATATTAGAAAATATCAAGAAGAAGTTTTATTGGTACTTTTTTAGTGCCTGATACATGGAGCTGAAGAGTAGCAAAAGGCAAAGTACTRCAGAGAAAGTCTCTAAAAGTTGATTAAAATATATCTTTAGAAGACTCTGAGGTTTCTACCACACCAAAAACAAGCCTTGCTATATTGCCTGTAATAACCCTGGAGTGTAATGGCCCGGGATTTAGGCAAGTAAAAATGAAAGAAGATAGCACCTGTAAGGCTACTAGGACAGGAATTCCAGGAAAATTGCTTAGGGGAGGAAGGGCTGACACTGCAGGAGGAGTCATGTATTTTCTAGACCTGAAACAGCAATATGTTCATTAACCTTTTAGCAATAAAACTGTAAACAGTGAAACTGTAAGTAAGGGGCAGGTAGCCTGTCACAGCGACGGAGGCAGCCAAGGGGGTGATGGAGTGCAGGCTAAGCCATTCCCCAGGCAGAATTAAGGTCTGTGAATATTTCTCTTTCTACAAACATGGCATCTAGCCAAGGGCTAGAGAGACTCAACCCAGGCAGGAACAGCCAGGCCAGAGCTGGCAGAGATACCCTGTGGACAGAATTTCCCTAAACAGTGGGAAGGAAAGACAGGAAGGTCACTTAAAGACTTTTTATCTGGAGAATACCCAAAGAGCAGAATCCCTGGAGGAAGCAAAACAAGCAAACAAACAAACAAACAAAAAACCAACAGAAGAAGTCAGGAGGACCTTCCCAAAAATGCAGGCACAAAGTGCTTGTGAGTGGCATTTCTGAAAGGGCAACAAGAAAGGGGCTAAGAAAGATGGAGAAAATCAGATACAAAATTATATAAGACAACAGTCAGCTCCAGAAAGACCTATAAAATCTACCATGGGATTCTGGAGGGGAGGAGGAGGAGCTGTCTCTACTCTGAATTAGGGTACAAAATGCAACCAGGAAGCCAGAGAGGATGGAGGCAGCAGAATTAGCTGATCCCAGCCAGGCTAATGGGAAGGGTCTGCAGACAGGAGATGTGTTGCCTTGGCATAAGGCAATGGAGAATGGGAAAAAGGGCATCACCGTAAGCCGTGGGACGCCACAACTTAAGCCGGAAAGAAGACTGCACTGCAAAGAGGACAGGGAGCCAGCATGGCTGTTATCCAGGAGGGAGGTTGAAGGGAGAAACGCATCCACGTGTCACTGCGAGAGCCAGTCCCTCTGTCATGTTTGTATGGGGGAAGGCACTGACTGACCATCTCCTTCGTTTCCTTCGCTGTCTGTGTGCTGGGTGTCTCTCTGAGGTGTGAGGGCAAGTGTCTCCCTGGGCAGGGAGAGCTGATTGCTTCTGGCTTGGGAAATGGAGTACCCCATGGGGGGAACTAGAAGGTCAGTGGGCTGCAGCAGGRGTCTGAGTCTGCAGGGTAGAAAGCAGTAAAGGACCTGGTCCCAGAGGAACTTTGATAGGGCCAAATAGGGAGAAACAGGATTTGAAGCAACCTGGAGAACTTTGAAATGAGCTCTCCGAGAAAAGCCATCCTGCCTGCCTACCTACCTACCTACACACATGTTACTAAACTTGTCAGTGTTGAGTTTTCTTGATGCACATTCCCCTGAATTCAAGAGCTTTTTGGCCTCTACTAGGCASTTCTACAGAACAAAAAGACTCAGACAAATCTGCTACCAGGCCCCTAGTATGCACTAACAAGTCTCAGCTGCCCTGATCAGCCTCACCTGGGGCCTCCACCCACCCACAGCCCATTGGCCCAGGAGCTTCATTTAAGTTCAGTCTGCTGCACTTTTATTTTCTTTTCTGAGCTCTACTGGGGGTGTATTTGTGTTTGGCATTGTTTTTTTTTATTATTATTATTTTTTCCTCTTGTCCTGACATACTACCAGATTTTCCTRGATGGATCATAGACTGAATTTATTGCTTGTCTTGCATCTAGGTTAGTTTTGAAGTCTGTTTTTCTGAGTGAGKGCTGGACTAATGTTGCAGCCAGTCCTGTCTCTGGCCTTATGCCCTTCTGCTCCCAGCTGGRCTTCCTGGATGGATTCTGGATCTGACACTTTCCCTTGTCTTGCCTGGAACTGTTAATGGAGCTTATGGAACTGATGGAGAGGGCCCAGCTTCTKCTGGGATCAYCTGTKGCTCCTRGTTTGTCCTTCCTTGTGGAGCAGCCCTGTTCCTCCTGCTCTCTGGTACCTTGAGCTTCTGAGGAGATAATGGACTAAAAATAGCTATTTGCTAATCTTTGCCGTTCCTGATGGGGCAAAACTTYTGAGTGTCTGCAGTGCCCAAAATGCAGTTTGACTCATATGGGATCTCTACCCAGTGTTCACATTAGAAAAATTTTCCTATCCAAATCACTCAGCAGAGCTCTAACAGGGACTAGGGGGCTCCTCTGTGGAGTAGATGGGCCCCTCCATACAGCAATGGACAAAGAAAGGAGTCACATTGTGCTGACGTTTGGAGATGGGCAGTGAAATCTGGTTGCACGCAGCCAAGCTGAACATCCAAAGATGAAGATTGCAACTTTGTGCCTAGATGTGCCACCTAAAGGTAAGTGCACTTGTGGAGGTGTGGGAAATAGCTTCCTGTGGTAGTCCGAGTGGCTGTATGGTACAAAGCTTGGTTCAAAGAAGTGGCTTTCACCAAAGTTTTATTTAAGGTTTTATAACATATRAGAGCAAAGGGGGAGCTGGAGATTTGCAGTCTCTCTTAAAGTGGATGAGTGTCATAGAGTCACAGTGAGCAGGAGGGCAGTAGCAGAGCTGCTCTTCAGCAGAAGCACTGATAAAGTCATGCTGGTGGGGCCTGGAAGCTGTTCCTCCTTCAACTGCTCTAACTAGGAGGTGGGAAGATGGGAGGCAAGTGGGAGCTGTGGGACTCATCCTGCTTGGAGTCAGGAAGATTTATATTCCTCAGTGGTGGATGTTTAACTTGAGCATAGTTAGAGCTGTGCATGCAGTGCCTGCAGAGCAGCAGGCTAGGTTCTTGTGCAAYGTTGTAGGGTGATTGCCAGCCCCTTTGGCAAATGTTTCTCCCTGAGCAGTGTGACACTGTGTGCCTGCCCCATGTTGCCCTTTGTGTGGGTGAAGGCATGAAAGGATAAGAGTTTTTGGAGTATTATCCCTGCACTAGGAACTTAAGTCCTACTGCTGCACCCATGGTTGCTGTAGAGCCCCCTCATATCTCTTTCTCCATGTATGACCCTTGCTGCCAGCTGTGGATTTCCCCTCCTTGCAACAGGAATATCCACATGCATCAGAGCTTGCTCTGAGATTGCCCATCTGCTATTAACAGAGGAGTAAAGGAGTATTCAGCACTGCCTGGTTGGGTATTAAAAGTAAATTGTTGGCTCTGTGTGTTGAAGAGCAGGGCAAATCTTCCAAAATGAAGGCAGTGTGAAAGGTTTGGTAGACTCCATTTGAACACACAGGCTGTATCTGCTGTAGCTAAGTGTTAAGCTACAAATGAGTAGTGGAGATTGTAAGTTTGGCAAGTCACAATGCAGCTTTGATGCAACAAGGATTTTGGATCTTAAATCTAAATGCACCTATGATGTCCTGACTGAAGAGTGGATGTACCAGGACTTGGGATACTTGTATGAGGAACATGAAGTTGAAGAGTAACATCATGATTGCAAGCTAATCTGAGCAGCAGGCTCTTGCACTGTAGTTTCTACTTAATGCATTCAGTAGTTCCTTAGTCTTACCCTGTCCTTGCAGGTTTGTGTTTAAGCTGSGGGGCGGTTTCCACCTGCTGCCCCGGGAGGGCCTGGGGGTTGCTGCTCTTCCTGTGGCCATTGGCCTCTAGCACTGGCCAAGTGAGGGGGCTGTTTGCAGCCTCGTTCCAGCGGGGTGCCTGGTGAGCTGCAGTAAATTCGGATGTCCCCGTGGGGCCCGGCTCTGTCTCCTGCTGACCAGTTACTTGTTGCTTTAGGAATTTCCTTGGCCCAGAGGTTTGGGAGCCCACTGGTTGTCTGATAGGCAGGCTGTCCACCGCAGAGATCTGCGGTCTCAGCACATCTCACCCTGGATCTGCTTGCTTGTTTATAGGATCTGTGTGGCCAGCTCTGCCCAGACAATTAATAGTCTSTCTTCTGTGTCTGTAGCTCTCTTCAGGGCAAGATCATGCTTAGCAGCTCTTCATGTCTATGTGGTCTTGATTTGCTGAATCTAATCTTAAAGAATTTTTTTTCCAGTTTCTTGGTTTAAATGTTCTAGGAATGTGCAACTGGGGAAAAGCTCTAGATGATGGTATCTTAGTGTGGAATAACTAGATGTGCTTCGAGATGYTTATCTTGTGACTTGGGCCTGTCTTTACTGTTGGAATAATCATGGCCAGAATGCCAATAATCCTGTAAAAGTGTATCCCAAAGGAATTGTATTAAACATAATGGGAAGTTGAGAAAGAGCACACTAGGAAAATATCAAGCAAGACAGCACTCAGCCAGAATTATTATAAATTTTGGTTAGTCTCATTGTGCACAATATGCCCTCATTTTAATGTTGCATTTCTAAACAGAGCCTTTATAACTTTGTTTTAATAGTTGAGAGAGCCAAGGACAATAAAGCTGCCTTCGTACATTTTTGAAGATGGTCCTTAAGGAAATTGATTTTCTTAATGATCTTTTTTGTATCTCTTATGATAATGTACCARATATGAATCTCTGAAAAGTCCTTGCATGAAATGGATTTAAAGCGTGTTATTTGTCCTAAGAATGACCTATTTTCAAAAATCGCTTGACAATTTCTCAGGATGAGAGACTTAACTAACCGAGGCCATTTTTTTTTAAACTAAGTGAACAGAATGATTTCTGTCTCGTTATAACAAATAAGGAGAACTTCAGTGCCTGCTACAGGGATTCTTGTGTCTTGGCCACCTAAAATAAATTAGTTTTAGTCTCAATGGTCAAATCATGTAAATCAGCACCAATTATAGAGCAATCAATCAACAATTCCCTCTTGCCAAGTAAAGTGCTGTATTTCTATCACAGGCATGTGACTTATTGGCAAAAGTTAGACTTTAAAGCCAGAGGAAAGACTTGCATCAGTTGTCTGCTTTGAGCCTGGAAACAGGTTTAAATGCTTCTTAGGACAAAAGAGACTTGATCTCCTGTACCTCCCAGGTACCCTTGAATAAGGGAGAGCTTTTCTTCTAGTCTTTAGACTTTAAACTAGGCTTTCCTATGCAGTGACATCTTCCTCTCCATGGCAGCTAAAGGAGATGATATTTCTYATGTGTTATCCACTTGAAAGGCTGTCGTTGATTACTCCGAATAGGCAGAGCAGTTGTCCAAAGTGAGGTTATGCTCTGGAAGGAGGACAGACGTAGGGCTCTTCAAAGAAAGAAAATATCAGACGGCAGCTTGTAGACCTTGGAACACGGATGCTAAATTACCAGTTGCAGGAGCGTAATCAAGTGAAACCCATAAGACAGTAAATAATATTTGGAGAAGACAAGAATGTGTTTTAACAAATGCCAACTAGAAGCACCCAGGSTAACTTTTGACTTGAAATAAAACAGGCAAATATAGGATTAGCACTTGATTTGCAGCTTGGAAAATTTGGAATGCTTGGAAATGTTTGCTTGGTCCACTCGGAGCTGTGGCTATGGCAAAACTACAAGTTCGTACATAGGTGCCAAAGTTCCCTTTAAAGAGGTGGTGGGGCATAATCTCTGCATGGTGATTGAACMCTGCTCTGGCTGGCTTCAATTCAATGTGTGATAAGGATCCTGCTTTTCCATGTGCCTTGCTGTCTCTCCACTTATACCGAATGTCCATCACCTGTGAAATGCAAGGCTCAGGGATGGCAGCCTTTGCACTGATTTATACGTGGTTTTTGGCACTGATAAGTATTCTGTTCTTAATTGAGTAAAGATCATTTTGTACTTAAAAATGGGAAGGATGGGGCAAGGCAGGCAGGAGGCAGAGAGGAGGAAGAGGGGAAAAATTGAGACCAACAAGCAAACCTGCCTCGTTCTGGGAGGGATCAAGATGAACCAACAGTAACAGGCAGGGTGATAAATGCTGGGTTTTGCCGACTCCTGTTTTGTCATTCAGTTCCACTGTGAGGTGGTCAAGTTGGCACTTGGCCTGAGATCCTGAATGTGTGTGGCTGGGCTAAAGGACAAACAAGTTCAGCCGCATGTTGAAAGAGAAGCCTTGCAACTTGTACTTGGAATAGTAATCTATGAACAGCTTTCCTTTCTGTGTCAAGTGTTTTGAGTCTTTTAATAAAAATGTAGTTTCTYATCTTTTAATACTTTAGCTTAGCTGAGGATGGAAATGTTTGCTACCTGTATAACAAGAAATCCCGCAGTAGCAAAATGATACTGACAGTTGGCAACTTTTTATTGTACTTGAGGTGTCCATACCTTTCTTCAGGATACCCAGAAAGTGGTCAAGTATCAATCTGTTTTACTTGGCCTGATGCAGGAACCAAAAATTTCAGAGATGGATGTGGGAGAGGCATTTTGTAGTGACTGCTGCTCTCTGATGAGCTCTGTGACAGCAGGAATGTAGGGGAGCTGGGGTTGCTGGAATAACTTGAGGTTGGAGCTTTTTTGACATCACAGCACCGTGGATAGTAAATTGTAATGCAGTTAATTGTCTTTCATAAGTATTTACCAGACTTTAGCTCAGTATAATATACCTTAATACAAAGCAGACACCTTTAATGTGATACTGTAATGGACATGAGGTTTCTTGAAAGTATTACTTTGTCTAACTGTAAAACAGTAGTATGGTGTAAACCTTATCCTGACCCTAAAGAGGATTTTTTTTTCAGTGTGATCCTGTGCCCAATATCAGCATTTTAGGGCCACAAATCTCTGTAATCACCAGGAGAGGTGACAAATAGTGTGACTTAAGTTCTGTAACCCCTACAGGAGTCTATGCCAAGTTCATACAGGCAGTGGGAAGCTCTSTGGGACTCGCAGACTTCCCAAGAGTACCTGCAGGGTTTGTCATCTCTGCCCGAATYCCTGTAAACCTCCTAATGTCTGCTAGGATTTCTAATGGCTCTATAATATGCAAAGTCCCACAGAGCATGGGGCTCTGCTGTAACTTCCAGATGCAGCAGCTTTGGTTGGAGACCCTGTTGTAATAGTGTTTTTTTCCTTGCTTTCCATGGATCAGAACTGCAACATCCCTAATCATTGCTTCCTTTTCTGGGCATGCTGGTTTCCCCAAACTGGCATGCCTGCAGACACATGAATGTGCAGTGACATGAAACACTAAATAACTCCAAAGGCTTCCAACAACTGCATCAACTGCTAAGCATGTGCCGTAGTGGGAATCTTCAAAGGTGTTTGAATAGGCTCTAGTCAGTTCAAAGGCATTAGTCTGAGTGTAATGAAACCATTCTCCARCTAAACCTGACTGAGGGCACTACAGGTAAACAATGGAGTGACTCTACAGTTGTGAAGTGCATCCAATTTTGTGCTGTTCTGTACAGGAAAGGTTAAAAGAGTGAATGGTGCAACTTGTTAAGATGAAAATATTGCATATTTCTGGAATATCCTACAAAATTTCCTGTTTTTTTATCCTCAGA